GTGGAGGGAGATTCCCCCAAAGGAGGATGAAGGCTTAGGTTTGTAGTAGGCTAATATAAATGCACAAGTTGCAGCTAGTTTTGGAAGGCCAGTAGGAGTCTCCTTTACATGCAAAAACACACTTCCTGCTATTTTGGTCCCTGTACACATTGCTTCTTTCTTCTTGCTTACAACAGGCTCCCTGAATGGCTCCTCCTGCTGTTTGGGATGGAGAAAGGGAAAGAAGTAACCAACACTATCCCCCACTCCCAGTGAAGTAGAAATCCTTAATTCCACTCTCTAACAGAAAGAGGGCATCAAGAACGAGAAGCAAAGGAAGGAAACCAGAAACTTTAAAGACGTTCTCCCCAGCATAATGCTTTACTCTTCCCTACTGTCTCAGGGCCAAAGCTGCCCACCTTGGTGAATGTAAAGATTGGACCACAAATTCTTTGATATTCCTGCCCTCAGGAGGTGGAGCATTTTCTTCCCCTAAGGGTGCACTGAATCATAAATACACTAAATAATAACTCACTTCTAGCTTATGAAGTATGGCAAGAGTGATGGGCTATCCAACATTAGGTGACAGGAAGACTGGCTTCCACACACCCATCCACTGTTCTCCCTCTCAGTCACTTTTCTCTCGTGGTTTACTCACTCAGGGGAAGGACATGTCACAAGCAGCACTATGAAGAGGCCCCTGTGGCAAGGAGCTGAAGCCTCCTGCCAAGTCATATGAATGACCTTGTGAACAGATCCTGCCCCCTGACCATTGGCTGCAACCTCCAAAGAAACTCTGAGGCAGAACCATACCCCACCCCCAACCAAGTCACTCCCAGATTCCTGAATGTATGAAATAATAAATATTTGCCATTTTAAGGGGCTACATTTTGGGGTCATTTGTTATGCAAAAATAGATAATATACTTAACAATGCTTTCAAGTGACATATACCTCTCAGGGATGGAGAGTACTGGGCTGGGCTATCTGAAGATTGCTATCCAGCCTTAGAACTCCTGTACACTAAGCTGGAATCTTGAAACAGAAAGAAATGGGTATCTTTAACCTGGAAGAAATGAGTTTTGAATCACTTTATAGTTAAATATTCCTATAGCTACTCATACAAAAATAGTATGTTGTAATCTTTTCCCCCAAAAAGAAATATTGAGTTAAGAGTGACTTGCTCATTTCTTTTAAATTTCTCCAATACCTGACTTTCTGAACTCAGCTGTGAACCTTGATGGCAAAATAAATAATCATCAACTGGAAGAGCGCTCTTATCCTTCAAGAGAGCAAATTGAAACCCGAACTCCTTCTTTTCTGGGTTGGACGTGATGGTTCACAGCCCAGAATTCTAAGTCCGAAAGGAATTTCATCCCTTCCCAAGGGAAGGGAAGCACTGAAAGACTCAGCTGCTTCCAGGATATAGCAATTGAGAGAATTACCTCCAAAGGCCCTGCCATTGGAGATCAAGGAAGATATTTCTGGCCCACGTAATTTGGGATTAACTGCAGGAGTTGGGCAGCTCATACCTAAACCATTAATATATAAAATTAATGCTTGCGAATAAATTGCCCCCTGCCCCTCCACCTCCACCCCCGGCTTTTATATACTTCCTTTAGCCCGTGATACTGACAGTGCCTTTCTCTGAAAATTTAACTCAACGAACATTAAATGAAGGCTTACTTGGCTAAGTGCCTTATGCGGGCAACGTGTTTATAGTAAACAATGTTCATAGGTTGGCAGTTCTGAATCCTAACCCACCAGGGAATAAATCTGGTGGTAGGTTGTCTAGGGAGGAGAATCCCAGAACATTAATTTTATGAATTTAATTTATTGTAAAGCCGGCCCTGAAAAAGTGTATTCTCCTACTACACTGTCTCTTTATGCTTAGCTCCTAATGGATCATAAATCTCTTCCCTGAGACAAGTGTTCACTTCTTCCAAAAAAAAAAAATCCTCCTCTCTCCCCTCTACCAATACAATACTGTACATTATATAGCATTCTTTGAGTAGTTTCCAAAGCAGCTCACAAAATCTTTTGAGGATAGCTAATAAACAGAGCAAAAAAACCAGAAGTCCTATACTGTTTGGCGATGTCAATGACACTCTTAACTGTAAAAGCTGGACGAACATGAAGAAGAGAATTTCCATTCATTTGACCATCTCACTCATATATGTTCACCAAAACACCAAAAATAGTGCCTATTTGGCCCCCATTTATTAAATTGTGGAGTTATTTTGTATGCCTCTCCCACTTAACGTTGATACAGCATTGTCACAGTTACAAGGGAGGCGTTATTCTGAACCGCTATTGAAAGGCAAAAGGAGACTCGCTTCCACACAGTTCAGATTAAGTGCGTGGGTGCCCACTGGAGTTAGGTCGACAGGTCTGCTGATGACTCAAGGCCCCCCAAAAAGCAACTCATCAAATGACAGGAGGAACTACACGGATACTTCCTCCACAACGTGGAACTAGGATATAACCTTTTTACATCAAAAGCCTCTGGTCAGTGAATCAGAGGAAAATAATTAATAGTTGGCAGTGCCTGAGAACCTCCTGTCTGTAAGGCACAGGGAAGGGTGCAATTAGAAAGGGTTGGCTACAGAACCATGCTTTAAGATTGATTTTAGCTTCTGTCTCCTGCCTTCCTGCATTTAGTGACAGCTTTTCAGCTCAGTTTGGTGAATTATCTTGAGTGTGCCCTGCTTCTGGAAGAGATATTCTCAAGTGCCTCTCTGTAAGATGTTACATCTTGGGCAAAAGGTTGTGTACATATGTAATGTGTACACCTGTGCATGTTTAAATATGGTATATTATACATATGTAAATGTGTGTATTTCTGCATATTGTTAAAACCAAGTATGACTTCTTTAAAACGAGTGGTAGGTGACTGAGCTAAAGGCTATAAAATGGCAGAGCTCTAATCAGCTTAAATTGTTTACCATAGTGATTTATCTGAAGTCTTTGGAATTAATGATGAATTACCATTTTATAGTAGTTGCAACTCATCAAGCCACGTGAGGCTCGAGGCTCTTGGCAGCCCGACTCCAGCCAGAATTAACCAAGCCAGGAGTAGCTAAACTCTGTAAAACCGAACTTCGCCTTAGAACAATGACCAGAGTTAAAACACAGCCAGACCACCAAGATCTCATGGGTTTGTCACCACCCAATAGAGCTATGGGCTCAGAGCTCAAAAACCTGCTACTTAAGAATTCATTAAGCAAGTACTGAAGACAGTGACAGGTGACAGGTCTGGGGCAAATGGCCCTGACAGCAGGGTTCCTGCCTTTGTGAAGTTAAGTCAGAAAGTCCTGTTGAGTGATGGGCTTTCTTTGGAATAATGAGTTACTTTCCAGACTTTGCACCTTATTGGTAGTGAAGCCTTTGGTGAGGTATTTGATGCCCAGCACTTGTCTAGGAACTTGGTTTACTTACTAGTGTAGCATTCTAGCCAGCAGCCCAGATCTGGCTTGTTAAAAGGCTTGAACTGTAACCATACAAGAACTCCTTGGAATTCTCTAGCAGCTCCCAGACACTCCTCTATTAGCTTATACTGTCATTTAGCTCTTACCCAGTAATTGGCAGAATGAAATTAGGGGAATTCATTTAAAATGGAGACCTTCTTTTATGAATGCTGGCCTGTCTCTTTAAGGCTGAAGGCTGGGCTGTCATTCTCAAGTTTAATCTCTCACTGATAAGTTATCCTGTTACCCAGGGTCTGCTAAATGAGCTATAAAAAAAAAAACACCTTAGAAATACAAGGGGATTGCACTGTGACATATAGGTCAAAGCTAATTCTAGGTGAGAGGGTGGAGAAAGAAATATATGGGTTATTTCCACCTAAATTCTTATCATGGTAATTTAGAATTCCTGATCACAAGTGTCAGGGAATGGTTACAATGGGCAAAAATTCTAAGTGTGCTGGTTGTTGCCTCAATCTTGGGCTTGCACTGTGCAGAAGACAGCCCACTGGTGACCCGGTGAAGGAAAGCCAACTTCAGCTGGGAAAGGAAAAGAGCTTCAGCTGAAATAAGAATGTCACCCAATTTATTAGCAAACCCAGAAAATGCTGAGTGACAGAGGACATGCTTAGTAATCAGGGTGAAACCCGGGCAGACTGGACCAAGTCCAACAAACCAATAGGGAAGATCATACTACTTTGAAAATTAAATTATGTCAGGAGCCAACCTTCCGAGAAAAACACACAGGTTACCTAGAATTACTCAAGACTAGAGCAAAATAAACACTTGCCCCAAGAGAAATCTGTTTCCACAGGCCCCAGCTGCCTCCAAACTGGGAAGACCCTACCTTCTACAGACAATTGTTACCATTGCCCTCAAAACGTGGCACATAAGGTTGAAGTATTAGACAAATGAGTGCTTTTTGCTAGAGGTATACACATAGCACCATGGAAGAAGCTCCTACCCAGCCTACCATGGGAAAGAAGGTAGGAATAAGACAGGGTAAGGTGTTAAGGGACCAAGAGCGAGGTCACAGAGATGTCAACATGGAGGTCTGGGGGGAAACGTAAGAAACTCAGTGTCCAGCACAAGGCATATCCAAGGCATTGCAGGCTAGCTGGCCATAAGCACAGCCAGGCTCAGTAAGCTTTAACCAGGTTAGCAACGTGGTCAATATTTGCTATTTAGAGGAATCACTGGCAGCTGGGCAGAGGATGAAATCAAGGCCAGCAGGGACAGTGACACCAGTTGGTGACACTGAATACTGTAAAGCTGCTATAAAATAAGCCAGAGGGGTGTTCAAAACAATGTTGCAATATGGCAGGTCAACGCCAAGCTTGAGCACAGGAGGGGAGGGCTGGGGTGTGCCTAAATCCAGAGATCCCAAATACTTGAAGTAAAGTACAGGGAGGTGCTGGCTGGTAACATAAGTCAGGGAAGATCTGAATTCCTAGAACAGGTAAACCTGAGCTTACTTTACCTCTTAAAAAAAATTCCCCCTTTGTGGTTGGAAAGAAGAGTAAAAGGGTACCTAGGGATATAAAAGAATCACAAAGAATCAAGTCAGAAAAGATTTTATAAATGTTAGGTTGGTTTATAAGAGCTGCTCTGGGCAGTTAACAGTTTGTTTACAATGAGGAGTTATCTAGCTGAACATACTGTACGTGGCAATCAGAAGTCGTCATGGCAAGAGAAAACCACAGCCAGCCTGCCGCAGCCGGCCAACACAAAAACAGGCAGCAACAGTACAGATGATGTAAGGATGAAGGTGGGGCTTGTTTTTATTGTAAAAGAAAGAAAACTCCTCAAGGATCTTAACAAAGGAAAAGGAACAGTACACTCAAGAGAACAGACACCAGGATACAAACAAAATTACAAGTGTTTTGACTCCAGTCCTGTCCCCATCTCAAGAGCAGAGATGGGAGGGAGAGCTCAAGCAAACAAGCAATTCTGTAAAACAAGGACTTAGGAACCCTACAAATATGATTAAAATCTAAACTTGCTTTAAAAAAAATTTTTTTAATATATCAAAAGGCCTGCTTTAGTGACATGCTAACCCCACCAGAAAATAACTCCAATAACCCCCTTGTCAGTAACATGCTCAAGTTGACCAGCCAACTCTTATTTCTAAACCCGTGTACAAGTACATGTGTATCTTTTAAACTAAAGCCACAGGGCTCAGGTGACTATTTCTAGAACGTGCTTCCCACCTGTTAACCAGCCAGTTCTACCCCCCATCTAGTAGGATGGGCAGGACACAGACCCTTGAGTGAGGGAATAACAGCCCCAAACAGCCAACTTTTCAAGCACCACCTGCCTCAACCCTGCTCAAAAAACCCTTAGTTCGAACCAGACTATTTGCTTCAAATTTGGCTCCCAATGACAAGAATGGTTTTTCTCCTTAAGAAAACACAGGTATCTGCACACCCATATATATAATTTCTTTGTTTTTACATTTAAATATAAAAATACTACTCTGCTTTGTGTTATAAATGGAGGACTAAGCAGTAAGAACTTTTTCTTCTAAGGTAGGACAATCCATCGTATGCTGACCTTGACCTGAGGTGAGGGCATTTAGCTCCAGGCAAGGGAAGGATCCCACCAGTAAAGGGCCTGATTCCCACCCTTCCTTCTCTCCTAATTCTCACTTTTAATAGAAAGTTGGTTATAACCTTGTAAGAAACAGAACTTTCTACCAAGAGGGGAAATCCTAACCTAACCAGAGTTTAAGTCAGCAACCCCTTCCCCAGCTACCTCAAGAAAAAATCCTAGCCCTCCTGTCACAAATACTATGCTCTCTGTCCAGACAGCTATGCCTATTGGACAAACACACCTGATTAAATGGAAGCAGTGGTTATGTTTCCCTAACCCCTTCCCCTCTAATGCATTAGAAAGCTTCAGAGATAGGAAAAAATGGATGGGTGGATGGGTGGGTGCAAAGATATTAAGAACTTGACCCCTCTATTCTGGCCAAAGCACTGAGATATTAACTGGGCATGAGGAATAAAAAAAAGACCTGGATATTCCGCCCTTTGAGTTATAGCTATTAGGACAATTGAGAAGGGAGAATGTGGGAACGGGTGAAGAATTAGGAGGAGTTTGACGGCTGCAAGTCTAGTCCACTTAGTTTTTATACTGGAAGGGCTCATCGCCAGTTTCGTTGAGAAGACATGTGCGGATGAGGGCTTCCGTCACCGAAAAGGGGTCACAGTTGGCAGAGGGGCGACGGTCTTCAAAGTAACCCTTCCTCTCCTGACCGACAGTCCTGGGAATGCGGATGCTAGCACTGCGGTTGGCCACACCGGCAGAAAAGTCGTTGATGTTGGAGGTTTCGTGGAATCCAGTTAGGCGCCGGGCATTATCCAGGCCCCCCTTGGGATCATAGGCTCGGATATGGTACTGGTGCCGCTTGCTCAGTTTCTCGATGGCCTCTTCAATGTACCTAGAGAAAAGAGAAAACATGGTCAGACCTGTCACCGGGAAATTTGCCCTTCTAGGGTAGAGAAGCAGGTATGGATCTAATAGAGTGATTCTGTCAAAGACTGTTCTCCAGCTTCCAGTCATGAAAACACAGCCCTAGAAGAAATACTTCACAGGGGCAGAGACTCACCTGTGTACCCAGTTTCAGAATAGTGCCCAACATACAGCAGATGGTATCTGCTGACAAGACCCTAATCAAAGACTTTCTCCCACCCGTAAGCATGAAGTTCATTCACATGCTTGTATTGTTATTAATTTATTATTAAGGATTTTCAAATGCGTTCATGTATGTCAACTATTCTGATCACCATCCTTGAATTCTAGTCCTAGGATATTTTTGGTATTTTTACAAATAGGAACAAAATGATAGGATCAGATGACAATTTCTGAATCCAAGTGATAAGAGAATTAAGGTATGAACTGAGAAATCTGGCTTATGCATCCCCAGTACATCAAATACTTCCAAGTATTCTTGCCAAGAGTGTAAGATGGCCCCGGCAGGAGCAGGCACTCACTTCAGACCGTTCTCCTCTCGCATGGCCTTGGTGCTGAAGTTGGTGTGGCAGCCTGCACCATTCCAGTTCCCAGGAATGGGCTTAGGATCAAAGGTTGCTATCACTCCGAAATCTTCACATACACAATGTAAGATGAAACGGGCCACCCAGAGATGATCTCCCATGTCGATTCCTTCACAGGGTCCTATCTGGAATTCCCACTAAAAAGAACGAGAAGGTTGGCCTTTAAGATAAAACCAACTGCTCACCCCAACTAAGAAGCCCCCAAACCTGCTCTCTTCTCACCTTTACTCCAACCTACTTCTTAGATTTTTGGTTAAGCAGCAGCCCTTGCTAACAGAAGTCCCCACTTGCTCCCAGGTAGGGAAAGCGATGGAGTGGAGCCATTTACCTGGGCAGGCATGGCCTCAGCATTTGTCCCTGCAATCTTGACGCCAGCATACAAACAGGCCCGGTAGTGAGCCTCTACGATGTCCCTGCCATAGGCTTTGTCCGCACCCACACCACAGTAGTATGGACCTGCAGAGGCACCAAGATGAATGTCAGGAGGCTGTAAACCAGAAACCCCCATATCCCATTCTTAATAAGACTCTTATTATTCCCAAGTCGGAACTCAGAAAGCTCTCTAAAAACTTGCTATCTGGAATTACCATCCTGGCCTTCACCGGAGGAGCAGGGGGTGGGGGGTTTCTCATCTGGGCCACTTTCTGAGTGGAGCCAAAGGTCTTCTGTTTTCCCTCCCTGTTAATGTCTGGATTTGGGCAATAAGAGGGCTCGTTCCACTATTATTTCAGCCAGTCTTAGGGATGGTCCCATAGCTTGTTGATCAATAAGTGGGCACTCCCACCTCTAGGAAGAGAGACTTTCCTTGCCAATTAAGCAACAGGGGAGGGGCAGGTTCACCTCTCACCAAGGGACTTACCCTGGGGCCCAGGGAAGCCATTGGAAGGCCAACCAAAAGGGTGCCCATCTGTGCCCATGAGAGTGTATTCCTGCTCCATTCCAAACCACGGTTGCTGATTGCTCACCATGTCCATTATCCGTTTACAGGTATGCCTTAAATTGGTCTCTAAAGAAAAAAAGAAGAGTCAATGTGTCATTAGAGACATATGAACAAATATACTGAATCCAGTGCTGACAGGAAAAAGGTCTCTGGATTCCATGCAGCTGAAATGTTGATGACAAGCTGAACTGATCCAATGTAAACCTTTTTGTGTCCCATCAGCGGTAAGAGAGGGAAATGGGAAAAGATGTAATTACACATCTGTAGGGAGATTCCAGAAAGACTAAACCCAGTTACAACCAAGTCACACGACGGTGGATCCAGAATGGAGCAAGTTTTCACCTTATCTGCATCCTGGCATGTCCCAAGTACCAAATGTCAGGCACTGTACTCACAAGACAGCTGCTTAGCATTATCAGACTTACTCCTAGCTTCTCAGGCATTCAAAGCGAAATCTACAATTTTTATTGAACAATCATTGCCTATCAGGAGCCGTATATTCCAGGTAAGATGATTAAGTGCTAAGTGTTACTATATTAACTAGTACAAAAAAACAGAACACTAAAATGAGATGAGCCACTGGAAATAATTTCCAGACCAAAATGGAATTAAAAAATGAAGTAAATATAGTCTTATTAATGACTACTTAACCAAGAATCATTTACGGAGACCTCTATATTAAAGAAAGTCCACAAATGAGACTTTATTACAACTCTCAAGTGGATATTCTAAGTCTCCATTTTTATAAATGAGAAATTGAGGCTAGGATGTTAGGTAGCCTGCCCAGGTTACAGGGCAAGTAGCAGAACCAGGAAATCTGAGGGGGTCTTGCCTTCAGAGCTTCAATATGTCTCTCAAAGGCAGTTAAGGTATGGAGTCACTAAGTGACTTGCCAAAAAGTCTCACTGGCAGAGTACAGCTCAAGACTTCAGAGAAGTAAGACTTCACAGTTGAATTTAAAAGGCTGAATGGCAGAGAACTGAGAGCAACAACAGGTATGGCCGGAAATAACCAAAATGTAGCTACAGCAAACCTAGAGGCAAATGTATGTCATCCTTAAGCCAAAAGGCTCATATTTTATGTAGCGCATAGGAGGATAAAGAAAGAAAACAAGCTGTCTGGAATGAAACAGCAACCAGATATATAATCGTTCTCAATCATTTGTACATATTAACTCATTTAATCCTGCAACAGCTTTAGGAGATAGGTTTTATTATTTTTCCCACTTTAGAATCCTAAGAAACAGAAGTATCAGGGATACATAAGGTGCTCAAGTTCATAGCCACTACGTGACAGATTCAGAATCCAAATCCAACAATCTCACTTCAGTCTACACTCTTAAAATCTACAGGCAGGCAGAAAGGCTGTGTCCAGGGGACTCCACTGATAAATAGATCGAGAAGAATCTGAAGTCCTTTTACGTAACCGAGAGGAGACCATGGGAGGGAAAGCCACAAAACCTCTTTGAATGAGGAAGTTCAGGGTGGAGACAAGCACATCCAATCCCCCAGGCTCCTAGAACAGTTCTGAGATAGTCTCATCTTCCCAACACTGATCCTGGAATATCCTTTCCTTCCCCTTTACAGCATTCATGGATTGGGGTGGGGACACCCATAACTACCCCAGACATACCTGCAGGCTTTCGGTTGTACTTGAAGACTTCACAGAACACCAGCTTGTTGGGGTCCTTGCGGAAAGGGTCCCGAAACATGGCAGCAGGGACGAGATACATGTCACTGTTGGAGCCTTCAGACTGATAAGTACTAGAGCCATCAAAATTCCACTCAGGCAAATCTAGGGTAAAAAGAGCAGGGGAAATTAAGTTAAAAATGCATAGCTTTCCAGGCAAGAAAAGAATACAGCCCCACGCTCACCTTTTCATCTCTAAAGATCTACACTCTCTTTTCCAGAAAGCCAGTGATGCATGACCATTTTAATAAGCAAACTGTGACATGAGCATGTAGCCCTAATGTCCTTCCTATCAGAGTTCCAAGTAAGATCACTGCCTCATTTCCTTAAGATGTTTCCTCCCTAAATAAATCTTTTGAATCTATTCTTCACATCACCAGGAAGTCAGCCATCATTTGAAGTATTGAAATAGGAGAACAAAGATTTGGATTCTCTCACTAGGCCATCTGTGTGCCTGATTCACCACCTCTTACCTGAGCACCACCCCCAGCCCCAACTATGTCTATGGATTGTCTTAGTTCCAGCTGTATCCTTACGCTATTAAGGAAAGACACAACTAGCAGGATGACTTACTCAAGGATACTCCCATGGCACTTATCCACTTTTCCCATTACGTTTTAAAGGCCAGTTCTCTCCAGCTGACTATGAGTTCACCAAAAGCAAGAGACCACACTCTACCATCCCCATTGGCTGCCCAATCAGTACCTGCCACATAGCAGGTGCACAATATATACTTTTTATTATGGTCATTCATTCACTCACACAATGTAAACATTATCAGGAGAGCAAGGTACCCTAAAAGCAGGTACGAGCTGAGTTTTTCTCCTTTGGTCCCGTTCTAGAAGGAAGGGGGCTATGGCTTGTTCAAGACTGAAAAATTAAGGTCATATGACTCCTCTGTAAAAGCTTTTAGTGGGATAAGCTTCAGTCAGCCTAAGAATTTTCAAAAGTGGCATCAACCAAAAACAAATGAATGACTGGTCCTACTTAGAAACCACTTTGCGGCACTTTCATTGCATCTAGAACCTCAGTGACATATGAGCATGAAACATTATACAAAGAGTTTATTTATCAAGTAGATGGCATAGTAGGTTAAAGCAGTGGTTTTCAAACTGGGTTCCAGGGGTGTCTGAGAGTCAACTAAGTAGGGATGCCCAGTTCAGCAAAGTCTCCAGCACCTCTTCTCCCCACAACGAGTCTTTCAATCTTGGTTCCTCAATATACTGGCTTACAAGCAAGACTCCATGTAAATAAAGGGGTCCATTGTCACTATGCCTGAGGCAGTATAGGAGCTTCATGTTGACTGAGTGAAGTGTGAGAAACCCTGCCTTACAAAAGCTTTACAAACAGAAGAATAAAGAGGCCAAATCTAGAGGCTAGGTCTCAGGCTGCTGCCCACCCATAAGTGGCTCCGCCAAGCCTGCCCGCCCACTCTGCCCAAGGCTCTCACCTTCTATACACTTGGGCTCACAGTCCAAGGTCCGGGTCTTGCAGCGCAGCCCTTCTCCAGTACCATCAATCCAGATGTACACAGCTTGGACCTTCTCACCCTGAGGCAGGGACATGTACACCTGCTTAACACCTTTGTTTAAGTGGGAGCTCGCTGAGGTGGCCATGGTGGAAGGTGTTCTGAAGAGGAAAACGAAAAACAAACAATTAAGAACACCAAGGATTCCAAACTGATCCTCTGCAGGAGTGACACAGTAAGGACAACTAAACCAAGGAGTCACAGCGAGAGTGGGAGCCCCTCCTTTTGGAAGTCCCACACTCAAAGATACTCATTTACTCTGTTTTCAGGGGGGTGATTAAAATTTTATGTTAAACAAAAATCTCTTTATAAGCTTCCTCAAGCTAGAATCTTACACTTGTGAGCCATAAGCTCTGTTTTTCTCAGTGTAGCCAAGGAAGGGAAATTGTTTGATTTTTTTTATAGTAAGATACTGGAGGTGGGGGAAGCCCCAAAAAAAGTTCAGAAACCACCTCCCAACACAAGTAAAATCCAGCCACAGAAAATCTTGGCTGCCATGGCTTCTTGATGAGTTTTCCCTTTTCCTTGCGTTCTAGTGGGCATCTAAATAAAAAATCCTTTTTGAAGATTCTTCAGCCCAATACCCGCTTTCCACATTTAGAGATGGCAGGATGAAACACGGGGTCTTAGCTTGAAGATGTGAAAGAATGGTGGCTTCCAAAAGAACTGCAGTCATTACTACCACGAAGATGTCAAAATTGCAGATCCAAGGTGGAGTCTAAGCTGCACACAGCCACAATTTTCATTAGTCTGAGGCAAAGTTCTCACTTCAGAAGACAGACTTAAATTTGAAAACGACATTGAGATTCCACTGCAGAACTTTTCAAGAAATCAGGAAATTCCCACTTCTAAATGAAAAAGACCTGAGGTTTCAAAAGCTGAGGCATGCTTTTTAAAAACTACAGGCCACCACAGCAAAACCTCTGCAAGAAGAGAAACAACACAAGAGGAAATGTTCTATCACTTCCTCCCCCCTCAGTGGCCCAGGGTGTCTGGAAAGAGAACACATTGTTCTCCTCCAGCGACTTGGGCAACTTTCTGAAGTACAGTGGCTAAGTTTCTATGGGCAACCGCCCAGCTGAAAACATAACTGCTTCTCTCTGCAACAGCCTCACCCTTCCCTCTGGGGAAGAGAGGCACCTCATCTGTCAAGCAGATTAGAGGAAAACATACTTTTGCCTACTGTGTCCTGAAGATGAAGACTTGGTCAAATGCCACCCTCACGCCCAGCCCTGCCTTTAAAGGCCCCCAGGAACAACCTCTGACCCCTTCAGCTCCCACTAAAAGCTACAACCCCCTCCCCCCCCGTGTCCAGCTTTCCTCTCTAATCTGCTACACCTCCAACATGAACCCACACTTTCTCCCTTTAAGCCTCGGTTCTGGATCTCCTGCTCTTCTCCGTGAGACGAGCTGGATGCCAACAGCCCACTCTATTGTGTGAACTGGTGCTGCCGCGCTGGGGTGAGCGGTCCTGCAGTTTCTAGTTGTTTCTGCAGCTGCCGCCGGCTCCGAGGTCCTGCTCCTCACTCACCCCAGCCACAGGTTAATCAGATCGCTGGGGTTGCCCTCTTGAGCCCTTCTCTTGGGGTGCCGTTCGCGCCTCTCGTCCTCCGGCTCTCGCTGGTCGGTGCACGGGAGCTTTCTGGGCGAGGGAGACGGAGATGCAGAGGGAGTCGCGCGGTCTATCAGGGAGCTACCGGGGTCGCGGCGGGACGTGCAGGAATATGACCCACGCTGGTGGGTTAAGGTCTTCATCCTGACTCTCAATTTCTCTCCGGAGTTCGCGGAGTAGGCGACGAAGCCAAAGCAGTAAGAGAAGGTCCCCGACGACCGAGACGCCGAGTCTTCATCTTCGTTCGCTGCGTTCTCCGCGGCCTTGCGGTCAGCGAGGGATCCCCGCCTCCCGCCCCCGGGCCAGCTGGGATAACCCACTTTGAGAACAGCCCTTTCCCACCTAAACGCCCCCGAGGTCCGCGCCCCGCCCCTCCGGCCCCCGTCGGGATCTCAGGGCCCAGCTGAGGGGGCGATACCCTGCAAGGGCCGAGGCTGGGGGGGGGTGGCGCGGGGAGAGATGCGCAGCCGCCGCCCTCGCCCCGCCTGGCCTCTCCACCAGCGGTGCCCGCCCGCCACGCCGAGGCCCCGGCTCCCTATTGTTCAGTCACAGTGGGAGCGCCGGGGACCCGCGGCGGGAGTGCCCGGCATAACCACGCTCACGGCCACTCGCCTCACCGTGGGCGTCTAAAAGCTCCCCAAGGCCCGTCCCCGCCGTGGAGCAGGGCGAGGCTCCCGCAGGGGCCCACCGGCCGGCCGCGCCATGCACACACCGCGCACGCACCGCAGTCGAGGGGATGGCTCGCCTGGCCGGCCGACCTCCGCGGCGGCGCTCGGGACCGCCAGCAACGCAAAGAGGATCCAAACAACTCCCCGCCCTCCTCAAAGCCAGCGAGGGGCGCGCCCCGCAGTGGCCAGCGCAGGCCCGCCGGGAGCTGCGGGCGGCGGCGGCACGCGGAGGGCCCGCAGGTCCCGCGCAGAGCAGCGCCAGAGGCAGGAAGCGGGGCGACCCCTGCCCGCAGGCCCCGGCGCCGCGGCTCGGGAGGCGGCAGGGCGGCGCGCGCCACTTCTGGGCCCCCCGGGCTGGCGAGGCGCCTACCTGGGTGGCGAGCAGGCGGGCGGTGAGAGCGAGGTGCAGAGAGGAGACGGCCGGGCACGCAGCTCAGACAGCCCACTGTTCTCCCATTCTCGGCTCTGCAGGGCGGCAGCGGCCCCGCACTCTTTATCAACGGCCGGGGCCGCCCCCGGCGCCTGATTGGCTCCCAGCGGCCGGGAGCCCGGGCGGAGCAGCCGATGCGCGCCCGGGCACCGCGGCCATTGGGCGGCAGCCTTTCAGGGCCGCAGGGCGGGGGCGAGCGCGCCCGGGAAAGAAAGAAAGGGAAAGGGCCGCGGGGGGATGGGAGGGGCGGGCTGGGGCCGCCTGGGCAATGGCGGGGGCCGCGTGTCCTGCGGCGGGGGCAGCGCTGAGGGGCAGCAGAGGTAGGCCCGAAAGAGCCCCCTTCCGGCGCTCTCGGTGGGTTTGAGGAAATGAGGCCGAGTCTGTGATCCCACATTTGTAATCACTATGTTGTTGTTTCTATCATTCCCTAGAGAGGATCCTGGGGGGAATCAGGAGACCTGACTCTGCCTTTGTCACACCTGAGACAAGTCTCTCGGCGACTCTGGGAGCCTGTGTTTCCTCTTTTGCACATAAAGCGATTCAAGAGAGGATTTTCAGAGCTGCTCACCAGATTTGAAATAATATGTGCAAGCTGTACCCCAAGGGCAGCTGAAAGGAAAGAGAGGGTTTCGCATGCCCAATTGGAAGTTCAGGGTATGTCAAAAATTTAGAATTCCTTTATCCTGCCTGGTTTTACTTTTCAAGTAATTGAGCGTGTTTTTAATCTGGTAAATAAAGGAGAATCAGTACTCTCCTTCCCTTCGCTCAGCCCTGCTGTGGTTTAGAAAATGTGTATGTGAACACAATCCTGAAATGGATACTTGTCACCAGATACATAATAATTATCTGTGTGCATATATATAGACACACACACACACACGCACAAATATTTTCATGGCTACCAATGCTATTACTTGATCATTCTATTTTTGTTACCTGAAATTCACCTGATGGTGTCTAGTCTTTACCACATATTTTAGGGGTCCCAGTTTTTGAGACAAGAGTTTTTTGTGTGTGTGTGCTTCCAGTGCCTTTGAAAAAGAAAAGGAAGAAATTTGTTCTCTTGGTTATTTTCTGTACCACAAATATGGAAGAGAAAGGTCTGTGATCACACACATAACTTGGCTTCTTAGGTCAACATCTCTTCCCTTTAAGAGTATCTCCAACACTGGAGTGCTTTAAATATGACAGATGCAACATTCATCTCAAACAGGGACTTTTGGTATGTTTCAGCCAGGTGACATTCTGGAGGCAGTAAGGTACCATGCAAACATAAGGGATTCCATCCTAAATTTCAGTGCTACATGCTGAAGTTATGAGGTGATGGTTAAAGGCTGGGCTTTACTTCTTATTACCTCTGTTTGCTTAGTTCCTTAGCCACATGGAGCCTCAGTTTTCTTGCCTGCAAAGTAGGGATACTAGCTGCCTTGCATATTGTAAGGGTTAATTGTGACAGCATATACATCTAGCAAATGCTTACAAAACAACAATTATAATTAGTATGAGCCCAGGATAATCTGAAGAGATTGGATTCTTTCTTTCCCCACAACAACCCTTCAGTACAACTTTCTAACTCAGTGTAACGCTGCACTCTTAGTTTTATGACTTAGTAGGCTTAGACCCAGTAAAAAGGTGAGCTGTTTTCATTTGATAGCTTTCTAGAGTCTTAAATCTAAATGCCTCTGAGGGAGAGAGGACTAGGGAAGGGAAAGGTGATGCTCGTTTTAAAAAACATTTATTTCCAGATGCCAAACTGCCTAAGCATTAAACAAAGCCTTCTGTGTTCACCACCACCAGCACTTGGGGTGGGGATGGCAAACATAATAGAGAATGAAACAGTAAGAAGCAAATGCAGTTTTTAAAGCTTATGGTAGTACATTTTGCTGTGTGAGTGCCTGCTTCCCTTGCTAGGTATCTTAATCTGCTTGAGCAGCTTATTCATTTTTGTATCCCCCAATCTTTGTATCCAGGTTGAGTGTTCAATAAATGATGTTTGTTGACCACACAGAAATGACAGCGGCACCATCAAGAGAACATGTGCTTTGAGCTGCTTTTCCAAGAATGGAAAAGGATTTGCTTTGATCCATTCATGTGACTGGGGTTAGGAAAGTAATACATGATCACTGAGTCTTTCAGGAGGGAACAAGAGGCCTTGTCCTCCTTAGCCAGCGCTGTACTTGCTTAAACCAATCCAATTAGGGTCCAAATGAGTCCAAGGACTGATCAGGGAAGCTTTAAAGAATATGAGGGAAGAAAAAGCAGAAGAAAGTCCCTCAGCTAACTGGTTGGCGAAACCCAGATTGTAATTTTTAGAGAGGTTTAAATTCAAGTGGCCTGTTTCATGCAGTTTGACTTCGCTGTGTCTGCTGGCCTTTGTTCTCTTTCCTCTTCTTCCCTAAATTGCCATCTGCCCCCATTCTCCACCCCCTCCATAAAAAGAGCATTAGAAAGCTTGAAACTCATGAACTCGTCTGTCTCTTGGTACATGCAGTATTAAAGCCAACAGGGAGTTCTGGTACATTAGAGTTGTTATATCCAAGGGGTGGGATGGAGTAGGAGAATGATTTTATAGGTAAAACTTTTGCTCCAAGTCTGCAGAACTGACCAGGGACTAAAAGCATCTTTGAAATATTTCTGCTACCTGAAATAAAAGGCCGTGTGGTGGGTGGGCTTCACCTGTGAGTTCTCCTCAGTTTTCTTTCTCTCTTTTGAAGGACCAGGTCTCATTCTGCAGGCTAGTTTTCATTTGATAGCTTTCTAGAGTCTTAAATCTAAATGCCTCTGAGGGAGAGAGGACTAGGGAAGGGAAAGGTGATGCTCGTTTTAAAAAACATTTATTTCCAGATGCCAAACTGCCTAAGCATTAAACAAAGCCTTCTGTGTTCATCACCACCAGCACTTGGGGTGGGGATGGCAAACATAATAGAGAATGAAACAGTAAGAAGCAAATGCAGTTTTTAAAGCTTATGGTAGTACATTTTGCTGTGTGAGTGCCTGCTTCCCTTGCTAGGTATCTTAATCTGCTTGAGCAGCTTATTCATTTTTGTATCCCCCAATCTTTGTATCCAGGTTGAGTGTTCAATAAATGATGTTTGTTGACCACACAGAAATGACAGCGGCACCATCAAGAGAACATGTGCTTTGAGCTGCTTTTCCAAGAATGGAAAAGGATTTGCTTTGATCCATTCATGTGACTGGGGTTAGGAAAGTAATACATGATCACTGAGTCTTTCAGGAGGGAACAAGAGGCCTTGTCCTCCTTAGCCAGCGCTGTACTTGCTTAAACCAATCCAATTAGGGTCCAAATGAGTCCAAGGACTGATCAGGGAAGCTTTAAAGAATATGAGGGAAGAAAAAGCAGAAGAAAGTCCCTCAGCTAACTGGTTGGCGAAACCCAGATTGTAATTTTTAGAGAGGTTTAAATTCAAGTGGCCTGTTTCATGCAGTTTGACTTCGCTGTGTCTGCTGGCCTTTGTTCTCTTTCCTCTTCTTCCCTAAATTGCCATCTGCCCCCATTCTCCACCCCCTCCATAAAAAGAGCATTAGAAAGCTTGAAACTCATGAACTCGTCTGTCTCTTGGTACATGCAGTATTAAAGCCAACAGGGAGTTCTGGTACATTAGAGTTGTTATATCCAAGGGGTGGGATGGAGTAGGAGAATGATTTTATAGGTAAAACTTTTGCTCCAAGTCTGCAGAACTGACCAGGGACTAAAAGCATCTTTGAAATATTTCTGCTACCTGAAATAAAAGGCCGTGTGGTGGGTGGGCTTCACCTGTGAGTTCTCCTCAGTTTTCTTTCTCTCTTTTGAAGGACCAGGTCTCATTCTGCAGGCTATAAACCCTTAATCTGGTGATCTGAGAGTGCCTTCCCTGGGCCTGTGTGGCTGCCTCGCACCTCATTAGAGCCAAGATTTGGGGTGGGGCTCATACAAACCCAAATCTTCAACCTAACTCACTGTTTGGGAAATGGACTCTTCCCTGTATGTGAATGGTTTCAGTAGGCTTTCAATGAAACTGTTAATTCAAGATAAAAAGACATAGCTGAGATCCAGGCTTGAGAAACATCCTGGAAAACCAACCCAGAATTGCATTCTTTTTTTTTTCATTTTTCTTTATAAACCAACACCAGTTCTTTCAAAAAAAAAAGACCAGAGTATAATCTTAAAATAAAACAAAATGAAGAAGAAAAGCAGGCTTGGAAACTGGGGTCATTACTCCTCAACCAAATTTTGGGGAGAAACTGCTGTTAGCAAGCTTTCACATTTCCATCTACAAAATTAAAGAATGAAAGACCAGGTTTTACCTCAGTTCAGTACCCAATGTTGCACACAGGGAAATTGTTCTTTACCCTTTCTGATTGATACTCTTAAACTCTGGTTAGGAAATTAGAGGTTCAAGTCTCAGCGATTTTTCTTTGATTTGAGTTTTGTTGAAGGCCCCTTGAAGTCATTTGATTGGCGAACCCTCCACTTCCCAAGCTGCATGTTGTGACTGCAGGTTGGGTCTGTTTGAACCCTTCCCCAAATTTTGTCTTTAATAGGAAACTGCTTGGAGACTTGGGAAGAGTTAAATTTATCTTAGTTAATAACATGGAAAGTAAGTCCTACAGAGAAAATCAAAGGTGTACAATTCTAGAATGGATCTTCACATCATTCTACCTTAAAGGTAAGGAAGGTGAGGCCACAATAACTTGTAGTAGCTCTCATTGAAGTCACTTCAATGACTTAGTGAAATACATGCAGCATTTTACAGGCTAATGGGCTTCCAAGGTGCAAACCCACTTGAGAGCCTCTTTCTCTTTCTCTTCCTTCAGTGTCCTTAGGCCATGGGCAATGCATTCCCCAATCACCAAAGACTAAAACTGAAACCCTACCGAACCTACCAAGAAAGTACAGAGCACAGGGCCAGTTTACCTCTGAATCCTACATTGCAAGTTACCCTGTGCCTTACGGTGGATATTCAGTATGTTCTTTGTGAATAACTAGATTACCAGGAAAAAAAAAAATGCTTTATGGCAGGTTGTCTTTAAAGGAATCTTTGGAGATCATTTTGCATATTTAATAATCTGTCCCTAGTTTCATTGTTTTGTAATCTGGGATTTTCATAGATAAATTTTGTTCTTTATTCACAATGCATGTATGGATCTATCTTTGTTACCTAGATTGATTGGAACAGTATTGAAGCTTATTAAAAAGCTTAGGAAGTTTTAGCATTGTGATAAAAAAAATCATTTGAATCAGAGTGTCTCCTTTAGTTAGTACTTTTCCAAAGATCCTCTGCTGGACCCACAGCCCTTGCCTCTCCCTCTATCCCATGAGTTGATTTGAATCCGTTTATTTCACATTCACATGCCAAATTTTAACAGGAAACAAACAGCCCTGGTATATGTTTTCTGATGCTTGGGCAATACGTAGACTTGGTTTTCTGTTTTTCCTGACTTCCTCCCCGCTACCTTTTAAACTTGTTGGGACACTTGTTTACTGATTAGGGACCGAGAGGCTTGGCTGGGGTGGTGTGAACATAGTGCCCTCTGGTGGAATATTGTGAGAATTACAAACTTCTGCCCTCAAGCTTAAGACTTGAGTGGTCTTTTCTCTGCCGGCCCTCAAGGGAAGGGGCCTCTCTGTTACATCTATTTTATAGTAAATTAATGACATACAAGTTTTTTACATTCACTGTATATTTAAGAGGTATGATGGTATCAATTGATTATGAAAGGTTTGTTATTCATTGTGAAATGAGGCCTCAAATGACTAGAAATGGGCAGTCAGCAGTGTAGTTTGTGCTTTAAATCATCTCCCGTCAAAGTGTATGAGAGGTGAAGACACAAGGAGGTTCCCCCAGGAAGGTAACTGAAAAGGGTCAAGGAACCAAGAGTTACGGGGAACGGCATGGATCGGAAAACTTGGGCACAAACAAGTCTTATCCTCAGCCCTCCCTTGGATCTGAGCCCAGAAATCTAAGAGCCAGGCAGGAGCTGCGAGTCTGCCAGACTCCCACTCTCCCTGGGAAGATGTGCAGGGGAGCTGGGTGGTGGGCGGAAAGCTTAGGGGGTCTGGAGTTTTCCCACTCTGCCATTTGTTCCACTTGGGTCTTCTGGGTGACTTCTTCCTTCCTTCCTTCCTTCCTTCCTTCCTTCCTTCCTTCCTTCCACCTTTTTTATCTCTCTCTCTTTCCTTCTTTCTTTCTCTTTCTCTCTTTTCTAACAGTTTCATTTTGAGAATCAGTCCCTTCTCCATTGCCATTAGCAAAGTCACTGTGGCCCCGGGGACACAGTCACCGGCTTGAGTAAGTCGCACTGGCAGGTGAATTCCTGTTTAGCCGCGTACCAGCTGCGAGGCTTGGGCAACTCGCCCTGCTGAGTTTCAGTGCTCTGGAGGTTCCTTATAGGAATGCCTGTGAGGATTCAGGAACAATGACAAGGTAAACAGTTCAGAGACAGGTTACTGGATTTTGTTATCCCAAGAATGAGGAAGAGAGTGGACCCATTACTAAGGAGGTGACTCAGGCCTTAGGGTTCTTGGTGTCTTTCAGAGTCTCCCAGAACCTCAGACCTGTCTGGCAACATATTTAGAAGGAACAGAGGCAGGTGGAGATTCTGGAAGCAAATAAGTCTTTATTAAGCATCACCTATACTGTATATGTGAGGCATACGTAGGAAATTACACAACTTGGATATGGCAAAGTCCTTACCCTTCAGAATTCTACACTTCAGATGATGAGAAAAAACCTTCCCAAGGGAAATGGTTTCAGAAACAGAACAAAGCAAAGTGTATCAGCTGTATGAGCAACTTAACAAGGTGGGTTTAGTATAAATGCCTAAGGGATCAGTAAGAGTTCTTGGAGAGGGCCGCCTGGGGGGGGCTTTATGCTGGGTACCAGAAAGCATGGTAAATATGTGATTGTGGGATGGCATTCTGTGGGATGCAAGGGAGTGAAATTGGCAAAGACTCAAGAATAAGATCGAGTAAATTACATGTACATAGGTGGTGATGGTAAAAGAAGTAAGCTTTGACTTAGTAGGAATAAAATATGAAGTTGGGGGAGTATTTGAACATTTGAATTCCATAAAAACTTGAATTCTACAAATTTAAAATGTCACCATTCAAGCATTAATAAAGTCTGACTTCCTGAATTTGCATTTAAAATGAAGCCAATCCTTAAAAATGAGCTGGGGTGGGAAGAGAGGGGAACAAAAAGAGCATAATTTCAACCTGAATAAATTAATTACAAATTATGTTTATGCTACTTCCACATGATGGCACCACTTTGGTGAGCAAACAGAAGTACCCACTTGTCTTTATCAGGATGAGACTTGAATGACTCCAGTTTTGAATTGTGAGAAATCATCATTCCCTCAGGTAAAAGGCATCACTTGTGCCTGAGAAGCAGCTGGTGGCATGACTGCTGGACTCTGCTCTCCTCCCTTCAAAGGCCTTCAAAAACAGAAGCTTTCTCTTCCCCCATGGCTTTCCTTGCACACTACCCATTCCCCTGGCCCTCTCCCCTCACCCCAGCAATCCCATCAGCGGTCCTTCCTCAGGCCCCTGTCCCTTCATCTCCTCACTGAGTAGAGGTTCAGGGACAGCAGATGTGCCAGCTGGAGACCAACTGCTCTCTTTCTCCAGGGACCAAAGAGGGCCCAGTGCACATGAGTGAGAGAGAACCCAAGGAGGAAGATGGGGTGGACCTGTGCCAGGCTTTCTGGGCCCTGTGTCAGGGGAGCTCTGGAAAAGGAGAGGAGCCTGGTCATCCCTCTCCGACAGCTCCACCCCGGCAGCAATCTGTAGAGCCGTCCCACCGTGCTCATGCAACACAGCTGCTTCAAACCCCATCAGCGTCAAGCTGGGACTGTAACACCTGTGCCAAAAGGAGGAGATGCCATAGATCCCCAGCAGGCTGAAAGCGTTGATCACCACATGCAGCAGAAGAAGGTGGTGACAAACATGATGTCACTGATGTCATCATCTTGCCAGGGGTAGCTGGTGACTGGTCTGTACAGAATGAAGCCTGCCTGCATCAGCCAGGAGCCCATGATCAGGAACAGAAGGATCTCGATCAGGGAGAGACGGAACGAGTCAGGGTCCGGTCAGCACCAGCATCGTCAGGAGCACCACCAAGATGAACAGACAATGAACCTGCAGCTCCACCCCCATTGAGACCTGGATGTGAGACGCCAACAGTGGCAGGAGCACGTAGAAGGTCAGGGCCAGGGCGCCTTTCTGCAGGGGTGCACACCTCCGAGGCAGCAGGTTCTTGTTCATGATGTCTACACAGCCATTGAGGGTGAGGGTGATGAATATGATGAGGTGTTGCCACTCTTTGGTGTACATGAACCTGGGTGGCAGTTCCCTGCTCATCGGAACCAAACCCCCTTCAATTCTGCTGATCTCATAAGCTATCAGGATGGAGCCAGTCACCACCTTCAGCAAACCTCTGTAGGTTATTTTCCACAGCCTGGCCCATCATCCCTTATTTGTGGAAGGACATGAATGATACAGGAGAGATTCAATGACTATCATGGCTTTGGAGACAACTATTGCCTGATACAATCCATATAAGACTAGAAACAATCCTGGGTACACGTGACCAATAAAGGTTCCCATTGAACTACAGATCTGTCTAACGAAGAAGAGAACAGCAAAACTCAGGCACGTCCACACCTTCTGGGGCCACTTCAAGGTCTGGGCTTTGGGAAGAATTGCCTTCCATCTGCTTTTATCATCTCACCCCACGCACTGTTCCTCCACAGAGAGGAAATGTTTCTGGAACCAAACCTTTGGTGGCCAAAAGCCTATTGTTCCATTCCATTCTGACACACTGAGAACAAGCTAGCTTCTGCCACAGAAGAAAACTGGCAAAACTTTAGGGGCTCCCCTCTATGGCCCTCGAGGAGCTTCTGGTTACTCTTGTCCCTTTCTCCCATGGCTTCCTTCCCCTTGTGCTGCCCAGCACTCAGAGGAAGAGGAGAGAGGCACGTGGGAAGGGGAAGGGGCTGCCACAGTATCCAGTGGAAGCACTCAGAATCCCTTGAGTATCCTTCAGTACTTCTGACGTAACTTTGATCCAATTGTAAGCTTTTCTTTTTGGACACATATTTATAAACATTTGTGACCATGTAATACATACTTAGCGCCTATCTGACTTTCCTAAGCTTCTCTTACAGACACATAGTAAAAGCTACCAAGAAAGCCCCCTTCACCTCCTCCCCCTACCTTTACACATCTGTGCACCCACCCTCTACCTTCAGCATCTCTACTGGCCAGTAAATGAATCTGAAAAGCTACCCTTCGATATTGATTTTAGGAACTGTGGGGGTTTTGTAGTGTGTTGGCCTGAGTAAGCTTGAGCCATTTTTCCCAGAATTCCCTTCCCTGTTGGCTCCAGGTTGGGTTGGCTACAAAAGCAATTTACATGAGAATCTGAATGTGGAAGCAGCAATCTAAGCACACTCTGAAGGTGTAGGGTGCCAAGCGCCACTGTAGCTCATACATCCTCTTACCGACATCTGCTGGTTCACCTCCTTGGCATGGCTAGCAGCCAGACCTATAGCTCCCTCAGTTTCTCTTGATGTGAAGGGCACCAGTTGCTTTTGCAGGTCATCTGCCCCCTGTGGTATGAGGGGATGACAGACAGACACAGGATCCATTTGTCCTTGTGGGTTTCACTTTGTCATAGTTATACCTAACTTCCTGTAATATACTTCTCCCGCCTATTGCCACATTGACCTGACATGACCTCAGTCCTATCACAACAAAGAGGCAATGGCCTTCCATAGATTATTCACTATGGATGTGTAAGATCTAATATCCATAAGAAATCCATGTGTAGATTACTCTGCTTCCATGATCCATCCCCAGCTGATACAGGAGATGAAGGTGTAATTCCTTAAAATGCAGATAATGTCAAGAGGAATGACTCCAGTGAGCTGGTATTAGGCATTTGTGTTTTAATGTGAATTAGCCCATCAGTTTCAGTGATCTGTTACTTGACTAGTATCTAATGCACTTCTGAAGACAAAAATCCTAGGTATAGGGTAATTGCTAACTGAGTATAAGGCAGAGAGAATAGTGGAGAATAAAGTACAGGGTACATGAGGCATGCCCTGGGTCCACAAAAAGTAATGGATTTATTGCAGGAAGTACACAAATAGGAGTTTCTCTAGGGGTGATAACTGTGCTGGGGGAAAGGAAGTGCATCACTCAACATGAACCACACTGACATCACAGTCTTCTGCATAGTCATCAGTCCTCACAGCACAAGCTATGCTGTGGGTAGAGAGGCAGCATCTGTATACTGACAGAGCCCTTAGAGGAGAGGAGGACAATTTACACTAAGGTCACAGCACTGCCTCTGAGGCTTCAGTCCTATCCAAATGCCTACCCTTTCTCAAGCCCATTTAATTCTAGAAAAATTAAATCCCTGTCCACCCTTGAGGATGGCAGTAATTCAGATTGCTTCTTGCTACTGAGAAATTTGGATGGGGTTGGGGATTTGAGTGTGAGAGCAAGTTGGAAAAACAAAGCTTAATTCTGCCTTTTGAAAGAATATACATTAAAAATTTTAATTTTAGATATTTTTATTCAATTAATGTACAGTCATTGTAGAAAAATCAGGTAAAATATATAAGCAAAAACATTAAAAATAATTTGTAATCCCATAAGTTGGGGTTGACTATTGTCACCATTGAAGTACAGAAACATGGTTTTAAGACAGCATGAAGAAGTGGAAAATGCAAGCACTTGAAGTCAAAAGTCCATTCTGATTCCAGTTCTCCCTTAATTTGAGTGTCATACCCCTTCTTTGAAAATTATGAGTGTAGAAGTTAACTTTCTATTAAAGTGATAATAAAAGGTCATGAATGTGATTGCACAGAAATGCATATTTAACTGCTGTCTCTTTCTCCATTTTGGTGAATTATCAAAACGCTGACAGTGCCCCTAGAGGAGAGGAGGAGAATTTACACCCAGATCACAGCACTGCCTCTGAGCTCTCAGGCCCATCCAAATCCCTACCCTTTCTCAAATCCACTTGATTCTAGGAAAACTAAATCTCTCTCTGGAGAGCTCAATGCTCAGAGGAGATTCAGAGGGAACATCTGAGGGACACTTCTGAAGTGAGGAAGGAGAGAAGCCTAGGATTCTCTTTGGTTCTTGGATTTGCACAGGGCCCATTGCATGTGCAGGGCTGGGCCAGAGAGCATGTAGTCTGCAGGTCTCAAGAGGGGCTGCATTTGGTCACTCTTAGTATTGCTTCTAGTATGTCAAAGCTGGGCTCCAAGTGGTGGGGGCAGCAGAGCTTACTCTAGCTCCCACACTCACCCACCTAGTAGTTTCTGGCTGCTCTGAGCGGCTGCCAGTGATCAGAGGAAGAGAGAGATCAGCAGCACTGCCCCAACAGTAATGCGTGGTTGAAAGTGGTACATATGAGGGCCAGTAGCCCCATCTTGGCCAGGCACTAGGGCTACATGCTATTCATTAAAATATCAGTATCCTGATCTCAAGACTTAGAAGATAGGAATCATCCATCCCAAACCAGACGGTTCCCACAGGTAACCAAGAAGGAAGCCAAAGGTGGTGAATGATTATCAGAACTGGTGGACAGCTCTGGAGTCTGTGGGTACCAAGTGCCTGAAAGCTGTTTCCTGAGGAAAACTCAGCTTCACCACAGGAGCCATGGAGGTCTTTCCTGCCCTGGCTGCTCCCCAGTGGGACTTTCCTCAGACCTGCCTCCGCTAACCGGCACCACCCCACGTTCTCAAGGAACCCCAGCACAGCCAGTGCCACTTGTCGGAATGAAATGCTAGAATGACCAAGAGGTCTTCAGGAATTCAGCAAATACAAATTTACTAACTGCTGTGGATTCTACTGAGCATAGCAGGGCAAATAAACAAGTATATTCTCAAAGAGCTGGCAGTTTAGTTCAAGACACGCCCCTCCACACTCACACAGTCCAACACGCACATGCAACATAGACATAGAAAACTATTCAGACTCCCTCTGTTCCATAGAAATCAATTGTCACATGTAATTTTACATTTTCTAGCAGAAACATTAAAAAAGCATAAAAAGGTAAAATTAATTTTCAACCCAATATATCCAAAATGTTATTTCAATTAATATGTTGTAAACATACTACATATTCAATTAATATATGATAACAATGCTATAATGCTATTTCATCTAATTAGTATAAGAATTACAAATGCAATATTTTAGATTCCTTGTTTCATACTAAGTCTTCAAACTCCAGCATATATTTCACACTTATAGCACATCTCAATTCAGATATGCCATATTGCAAATGCTTAATGGCTCCATGTGGTGAGTGGCCCCTGTATTGGATGGTGCAGATTTAGACAAGATAGAATGACATGTTGAGTGAATTTTAAAGTTTCAGTGAAACAAACTTTATGGAGAAGGTAGAAGTTAGGGCAGAAATGGCATCTAGAGAGCTGCATTACAAGTTAAATTGCTGTGGGATTTTAACATGGTGCTTTCCAAAAGCATTGTTTTATTTACCTCCCTTTTGTTGAGGAGGGCACCATCGTCATCATCAAGGACGATTGTAACTCACCTTGCTGCAAGGCAGAAATACACCACAGGAAGGGAGAAAGCCAGAGGCTGGGGGCTTGTGCAGAACCACACAGGAAGTGGGTCCGGGGAAATAGGCTCAAGGGCAGAGATAGCCCCTATGTTCAGGGGCCAAACTTCATCTTATTTTAAGGATGAATAAGCCATGGGTTTTATCACTGACTTACCCAAACAAGGCTCACAAGAGATGGAAAACAGCATTCTAATTTCTTAGTTTGAAAGGAAACTATGCTTTATTTTTCCTGGCACACTAGCTCCTAATTTTGCTCTTAGAAATTTTCTTTAATGTGAGCTTTATACCTCGTTGCATAACCATGACTTAGGTTTCACAGTTTATGTAATTGATTTCAGGTACTTTGGGATGATGACATTTCAACAGCTGCAGATTTTTTTTTTCCTGGAAACTTTTGGCAAGGTGGAAGCACATACTCAGTTTACCTCTTTGATACCTATTTCTTCCCTTATGACTATGCTATTAATTCATATCCGTGGGTGAGGTCAGAACTGAAGGACACTGAGTCAGTTTTTCTGTAGATCATTTCTCTTCCAAACCAGAATATGCATCCCCATGTTAGGGGTTAATCTTTTCTCCCTCTTGTTCAGGATTCTTAATTCTGTCGTTTTAGTCTTTTCTCTCTCTCTTGTTTGGGATTCTTAACTCTGCAGTTTGGGGTCCCTACTATAAATTTCAAAATTCCCTGTGGGAGATACAGTATCTGATTACTGAACAGTCTTCCTTTCTTCCAACAACGTAGAGTGTTGCTGGCGAACTGCCACCCAGTCAGAGACCACGCTTCCCAACTGCCCAGTGACTGAGTTTGGGCCAGTGGAATGTGTGGAAGGGATGTGTGCCACTTCAACACATGGCCCATAGAAACCTCCCTCCTGTCCCTCACCCTTTCTTT